AGTTGTAGAGGTAGACAAGTTCCAAGTCTGTGAGTCAGATGAACCAAGTTCAGAAAGTTAGGCAACAGACTGGCAGGTTCAGACAGGTACGATGGCAGGTTGCTAACAACTCTGAAAGCAATAAGGGCGGACCATTGGCTTAAGTCCAGATGATGAGCCAGATGCAGGATCCAGATCTAGCAGAAAAGCAAGCAACCTTTGTCAGAGTGTCCAGTACATTGGAAGTAGGTCCACCCCTAAGGAAACTTCCTTTCAGTTGATTGGCTACTTACAGCAGATCTCATCATAGAGTTGATTTCATTAGATTAGATCTCATCATACATCTTAATTGCCAAACTGCTAAGAATCCTGTCCCAGTCAAGTTGACCAAAAACCTTAATGATCACAGCATTACTTGATTAGTGTTTGCCAATCTTATTACTCTAACTTCTCTTTTTTTAACAGGTCTGTAAAACTTCCTACAGAGGATGGGTCCCTTTTGAATGAAACAGATATCATTTTCTCCAACTCAAAGCTCAAAGATTCTATCTATGGACCTGTGTTTCCCGTATCGGCCATTGCTGGGCTAGTAGGCGAAGAGGCAGAAACTTTCAGGGTAATTTACCATCACCTCTCTCTGTTGGACTAACAGTTTGTTGTTTAGGGAAAATGATGTCATTTGATTCACATAACCACCACATGAAGCACATAGGACAGAGAAGTTCATCTGGTCTTTCCTTCAGTTAGTCATAGAGACTAGGAGAAACGGAGGCTCTGGAGTTTTGCATTTGAATGACAGGGAAGATGATGGCACTGCTAATAGACACAGGAAGTCCAGGTATGAATTCAAGTTTGGACATACTCATCCTCAGTTTTTATTTGTCCTCATGAGGAACCTGTATGTAGAACCAAGAAGCAGCCATTCAAACAGAACAAGGGGCTACTGCGTGGTTTAAAATCAGGAAAGATGTGTGTCAGGGTTATATCCTTTCACCATACCTTCTTCAAGTCTGTATGATCAGCAGATAATCTGAGAAGCTGAGCAATACGAAAAAAAATGTAGCATCAGGATTGAAGGAAGACTGATTAACCTATGACATGCAGATGACACAACCTTGCTCGCTGAAAGAGAAGACTTGAATCACTTATTGATGATGAGCAAAGAATGTAGCCTTCGGTATGATTATACCTCAACATAAAGGAAACAAAAATTCTCACAACTGGATGAAAAGCAACCTCATGACAAATGGAGAAAATATTGAAGTTGTCAAGGATTTCATTCAATTTGGAGCTACAGTAAATGCTCATGGAAGCTGCAAGAAATAAAAAATCAGCATATTGTTGGACAAATCTGCTACAAAGGACCTTTTTAAAGTGTTCAAAAGCAAAGATGTTACTTTGAGGACTAAGGTGTGCCTGACCCAATCCATGTTACTTTCAGTTACCTTATTTCACCTTAATTCATTTTTCATATGCATATTTGAAACCTGGACAATGAATAAGGAAGACCAAAGAAAAATTGCTTTCTTTGAATTATGGTGTTGATGAAGAATATTAAATATACCAGAAGAATGAACAAATGCCAGATGAATGAATAAATCTGTCTTGGAAGAACTACAGCCAGTATGCTCCTTAAAAGCGAGACTTGGAAATGTTATCAAGAAGGACCAGTCCCTGGAGAAGGACATTATGCTTGTAGAAAGCCAGCAAAAAAGAGGAAGACCCTCAATGAGATGGAGTGACAACAATTGTGAGGATGGCGCAGGACCAAGGCAGTGTTTTATTCTGTGGTACATGGGATTGTTAGAAATAGGAACCATTTCCACAGCACCTAAAGCAACATCATAGTCAGTTTGTGGTGCTGGGGTACAGGTAGAGATAACAGGTAGAAATTGGCAAAGTGAACGTAATTCTGTGGGGGAGATGGCAAGGCTGAAGACATAAATGTTTGAGTCATTCTCACAGATGGAACTGTGGAAGGCTTTGAGAGAAGGTGTGAGGAACAGGAGACAAAAGGTGTCAGTGAAGAGGAGAGAGGGCCAGAGTTGGACAGAGGAAGAGGAGTCTGAGAAAGAACAGTCACAGTAGGAGCTGACCCAGGATAGAACAAGGTCATAGAAAACAGAGGAGGAAAGTTTCAAAAGGGAGAGTTTGTCAACAGTAACACACTCATTCATTCAACAGATATTTATTGAACTCAGTGAGGATCACATGGTATCAACCCAGGCCTGCCTCATCGAACTTATGTTCTAGTTAGAAAGACAACCACAAAAGTAAGCAGATACATTAAATCATTGTCAACTGCCATGATTATAACAGACTAAATGAGGGACTAGGAGATTAACATAGGCTAGTCAAAGAAGGCCTCTGGTTAGATGAAATTTACATTGAGACCTGAAGAGCCTGTTAGGTAATTCATGTTATCAGTAAGGTAAAGAGTGATCCACTCAAAGAATGGCATGTGCAAAGGCCCTGAGGAAAGAAGAGAACTTGACATATTTGAGGAACTGTGGTGGGAGCAGGTGAACAAGAGAATAAGGTACAAGGTGATGTTCAAGATGGAGGCAGGGACCAGAGATCAGCATGTGCTGGACCTTTGGGGTGATTACACATGCACCATGCTAATGCTCTAAGAAGAGGATAAAGGAAGTAGAGGAGCGCAAATGTTTTTGACCACTTCTGAGAATCAAACTATGGTTTTTAAAAATAATGCAATGTGGTAAATCCTGCCAAAAATCTTTGTGGCAAGCAAGAGAAAAGAGGTATTCTCTTGGTATTTCCAATAATATATGACAGTACTCACTCAAATCTCTATATTACAGAAATTGGTTAGTTCCTTCTATAGCACAATAGCCATAATAGGAAAGCAAAGTAAAAACACATAGATGGGCTATTCTGCTTTACAACTTGAAAGAATGTTTCTTTGTCCAAAAAAACCATTTTGCCATCCTGTCAATTCCTACCCATAGGGGCCCTGTAGGACACAGTAGAACTCTCCCATTGGTTTCCAAAGCAGACTGTCACATATTTCTCCTTCAGAGTGGCTGGTGGGTTCAAACTGTGAACCTTTAGCAGCCAACTGCTTTAATCATTGTGCCATCAGGGCACCTTTTGTCTTTGCTTAGGACAAAAATGAAAAGGTCAGATAGTACTGAATGTTATGTTTCAAAAAAATGAAAGTAAGTTAGTATGTTTGACTAGTTCAACTAGAAACGAGGCAGTGCTGTATTATGTATGGCATTCTGAGTTTAGGATCTTAGTTCATTGGTGCTGGGAGGGTGGGGTGGAGTATGTGCCTCAAATAGTGGTTCAAGTTATCTTGACTTCCAAAAAGGAGTTTAAGCTTAAGGTAGCTTAAGCTGACAAGTAGGCGTGCTCAGGTTGAGAGAAAGGGGGGTGGTCTCTCGCCTACTGGACACCGGTGTTTAGGCTGCCGGGGGGGCAGGGGCGGGGTGCAAACACTGAGTATTATCTTGGGAGGCAGGGTCAGAAAATTAAGGCCTTCTTTAAATTGTGTTTTTGGTGAAGGTTTACACAGCAATTTTAGGTGGCCAATCAACACTGTCTATATAAATTGTTTACTAGTGTTGGTAACATCCGTCACTATACATGAACATTCTCTATTTACCTGCCCCTTACATTCATGTTTTTGTTTTAAAATAATTGTTTTGTTTTGTTTTCAACATTTTATTATGTTCTAGGTGTGGTGCTGTGGGTTAAATGTGCCAGATTGCAAAGCCCTTTGAATTGTTAGGTCCGCGGTTCAAGCTCACTAGCTGTTCCTCAGAAACCTTATACAGGGTTGCTATGGGTTGGAATCGACTCAAAAGCACTTAACAACAACAACAACAGGCAAAAGTTTACATAGCGAATTCGTTTTCCCAACCAGTAGTTCAAACACAAATTGTTCCATGACATTGACTACAATCTCCACACTCTTCCTATTTCCTCCTTGGGTTCCCCGTTTCCATTCTTCCAGTTTCCCTGTCCCTCCTGTCTTCTTATTGGTTTGGGGCAAATATTGTCCATTGGTCTCGAACAGTGGATTGTTCTGATGAGCACATTCTTCCTGTTGTTTATTTATTACTTGGAGGAGCCACATCGTGGCTCTGTAGGATAAGTACCTAGACTGCGAACCATAAGGTCAGCAGTTCAAGCCCATCACCTGCTCCATGGAATAAAGATGAGGCTTTCTGCTCCTGCAAAGATTTATAACCTCAGAAATGCTAGACAGGGTTTCTATGAGTTGGAACCAAGTCAAAAACAACATTCTTTGGTGTAATGTACAAAGTATGAATCTAGAAAAACGGAAAGTTGTCAAAGTTGAAATGGACTGCATAAAGATTGATACCCTAAGCATCAGTGGGCTGAAATGAACTGGTATTGGCCATTTTGAATTGGAAATCATAAGGTTTGCTATGCAGAGAAGAACAAAAGAGCATGTCAAGATCTCTCTTGACGTACAGTGCTATTTGTTATAGGAGCATATCCACATAGGCATATGGAAGACCAGTTAATACCGTTATCCACTAAAACCAGTGATGATGAAATTGAAGAATCCTACCAGTTTCTCAGTCTGAAATTGATCAAATATGCAATCAAGATGCATTGATAATTACTATTGACTGGAATTTAAAACTTAGAAACATAAAGGAAAGATAACGTAGTTGGAAAATATGGCCTTGGTGATGAGACATGATGCTGGAGATCATATGAAAAATGTTCGCATGACCAATGACTAATTCATTGCAAATGCCATCCTTCAACATAAAAGACAGACTGTGCATGTGTACCTCTCTAGATGGAAAACACAGGAATCAAATTGACTACATCTGTAGGAAGACACCATGGAAAAGCTCAATATCATCAGCCAAAAGAAGGCCAGGGGCTGATTATAGAGCAGATCATCAATTGCTTATATGCAAGCTGAAGAAAATTAAAACAAGTCAATGGAAGCCAAAATATGGACAATGTGGCAGCAACAGTGGGCTCAGGACTGGGCAGTGTTCCCTTCTGTTGTGCATAGGGTCACTGTGAGTTGGAATCAACTTGAGAGTACCTCAGGGAGCGTCTCCAATTTCAAGCTCGAAGATATTTTAGGGCTGTGTTCTCAGGAAGTTCTTCTAGTCTCTTGCCAGCCAGTAAAGCTGGTCTCTTTTTTTTGTCTTTAAATTTTATTCTACAATTTTTTTTAAAAAAACGTATTCTAACCAGGATCTTCTATTGTGGTAAAGTTGGTAGTGGTAGCCAGGCATCATGTAGTTCTTCCGGCAAGATAATTAATTGTTGGCTGTTTGATTTCATATGTTGTTGTTATGTGCCGTGGAGTCAGTTCTGACTCATAGTGACCCTGTACAGGGTTTCTGAGGCTGTAAATCTTTATGGGAGCAGAACGCCTCATCTTTCTCCCACGGAACAGCTGGTAGTTTCGAACTGCTGACCTTGCGGTTCACAGCCCGATTCATAACCACTACGCTACCAGAGCTCACTGATTTCATATAGGTGATTTTTTTTTTTTAAGTTTTTATTGTGAATTGAGTGATTAGTTTACACTCATCGTTTCATTGCAAAGCTTACAATCTCCTCTGTGCATCATCATTCAGCAGTATTTGATTCTATTCCTTCTGTTGTTCGTTTGTTTGTTTTTTTTTGGGGGGGGGGAATGTACACAAAAACACTCAGGAATATATAATCATTTAAACAACCAAAGTACACATTCTGCCAGCCTGCTCCCTGGCCACCAGCACCTGGCTGTCAACACACAGCCTTTCTCTTTCCCTGAGCTGCTCTCTCTCTCCATGCCCTCATTTCTGTCTCCATCTCTGTTGTCACTGCTTCTCTGGATAGGGTCTCACATTCTGCTCGTGATCTTCTCCTTTGATGGTCCTAGGGTTCTCTGTTCCTGGACTATAAGATTAACTACTCTCCTCTTTTTGTTACAAACTTCTCATATAGGTGATTTTTTAAAGGTACATAATACTTAATAGTGATATTATTTTTGACCTCAGGGGTTAGTTTTGGCTCAGGGTTTGAAGAATCTCTCAGGACAGCAGTCTTGGAATTCCTCTAGTCTCGGTCAGTCATGGTAGCTGGGCAACACCTAATTCTTCTGAGCTCCAGGAGATGAGGCTACAGTTTGTATAGACTATTTGTCCTCTAGATTCATTTCTTCTTTGAGCTTTTGGTTCCTTCTTTCTCTTTTGTTCTTTGATGAATATAGTTGTATCTTAGATGGTTGGTTCCAAGTTTTTAAGACCAAGATTCTACTCACCAAGGTAGGATGTAGAAATAACTTTATGAACTATATTATGCCAACTGACCAAGATGCCTCATCAGACTATGGCCCTCATCCCTCAAATCCTGAAAGCCAATCCCGCAAAGTGTTTGGTTATGTCTAAGAAATATCCATAACTGTACCACTGTGCCACCTGTGTGTGTGTGTGTATAAAGTACTACTGTGGACTGCCAAAAGAACAAACATCTGTGTTGGAAGAAGTACAGCCAGCATGGCCAAACTTCGTCTCTCATACTTTGACCATATTGTCAGGAGGTACCAGTCCCTGGAGCAGTATATCATGTTTGGTAAAGTGGAGGGTCGGAGACAAAAAGGAAGTCTCCCAACGAGATGGATTAGCACAGTGACAGCAGCAATGGGTTCAGTCGTAGCAACGATTGTGAGGTTGGTGTAGGACCAGGCAGTGTTTTATTCTGTTGTGCACAGGGTCGCTATGAATAGGTGTCAGCTCGATGGCACCCAACAACAACTGTTTATTGTTGTTGTTGTTGTTGTTATGTGCCGTGGAGTCGGTTCTGACTCATAGCGACCCTGTGCTGTAAATCTTTAGGGGAGCAGAAAGCCTTCTGTGGAATAGCTAGTAGTTTTGAACTGCTGACCCTGAGGATAGCTGCCTAATTTGTAACCACTATGCTACCAGAGCTCCTTATATACATATGTATACATATATATGAATATAGTCACACAGATACATACTCACACACACATATAATATCTATATACATATATACCTGCACGTATATTTTTGTTTGGTTTTGCTATGTTTCAAAATTATATATATCAAATTATGCCCTATTGTTATATGGCCCAAATTAAGAATGGTTTTTATGCAACAGAGACCTATGTGGTCTATAAATCCTAAAGTGTTTATATCTAGTCCTTTATAGAAAATATTTGCCTTAGATCCTTGGCCCATATTATTTTTAGTTCTCAAACACCAATTTTTCTTCTGGGCATACACCATAGATTTTTTGCATTTCTGTTTGAATATTTCATGAAATCAAAGTCATGTGGGATGCTTCATGAACTGAATTGGAGAGACCATCAGAATCAGTCAAGGGTGCTCTTATTGGTCCCCCAAAAAGCTAAGTAAGCAGAGGCTCCTGGCTGACCTCTCCACAGCAGCTCAAGGGATATCACATTCTAGCCTGAAGAATGGGTGAGTGAGGAGAAGATTGGTGTAAATCTTCTTCAAAAAGGGTGAATTGGGCTAGGCAATAACTTTCTTAGATTAAGATACTGAAGAAGCGTCCACCAAGAAATTCTGTAGAAATTACTATTCAACACTTTCATTGCAATCTGTGTCCATGGATGAACTCTGAATGCACTGGCAAGAATACCTTATTTTTTTCCTTAGTGAATTAAAACGCAGAGTCTTTGAGTAAAGAAGTAGAAATTTGCTTTCCTTTTGGCAAATGGCAGAACCAAAGAATTCATATATGTCTATTTGTTTCTTCTTAAAAATTGTTTTCCTGTTATCCTCTGACTCTTGAGCCATGACTATTGTCTTATGCAAGGTCTTTAATCTTTCCTTTAGCCAAAGGATGATCTGCATTCTTTGCTTCACCCCACCATGCATTGCTGGACTCCTACAAGTGAGCTGTATGTTGGCTGTGAAGAGAGTCACCTTTTAAGGATTAACGGAGACACTTTGAAGGTGACCGTGCTTAATAAGACAGAAGAACCAGCACCCTTGGGTGAGAAACTGCTCAGCTTCATATTTCCATAAGTGTAGCCCTGTGTGTTGTTTTGCATACACTTAAAGATGAAAGTTCTAGACCCCAGGGTTCTCTTTTCTGCACCCATCATTAATTCCTGCTCCTTCATCCTCTCTATTTAGTTACCAAATCCTCTGAAGTACTATCTAGCTAATGTTTATTGAGTATTACTGAGTTCATGTGTTCTGCTATCCCTTTGTATGCATATTTCATGTCATCCTCAAAACACTGTTATTAAGGAAATATTATTTTAATATTCATGATGTTGTTAAGTGCTATGTGTCAGTTCAACTCATAGCAACCCTGTCTAGAGTTTCCAAGGGCCCTCTGGTGGGTTTGACCTTGTGGTTAGCAGTCTAGTGCTTATCCTACAGCGCCACACCAAGACTCCATGATACAGACAATGAAATAGAGAGGTTAGGAAATATGTCCAAGTTCACATAACAAGCAAACAGTGGACTTGGTATCTGAATTCAGGAAATATAACCTCCAAGGAATCCAAGTTCTTAGCTATTATGCTATACTTTTTCTTGTACACAAGACAGTTCTACATAATCAGCTAAATGGGCCTATTCCACCCTCCAAGTCCCTTCAACCTCTTTCTCCATGATGACCTTCTTATTTTAAAATCCAACTTACCCCTTCTTGGTGAGAATTTCAAAGATAATCTAGTCTGTTTTCCTTAGGTCTGGCATCCATTCCCGTTCAATCAACTGTGGCCTGGGTCACACAAGTGTGGCTCTGCAGGATAATGCACTGGACGGCAAGGTTGTTTTGAACCACAAGGTCAGCGGTTCAAACTCACCAGTCATTCCTTGATCATAATGCGCTGGTCGTTATGAGTCAGAACCAATTTGACGGCATTTAACACCAACAACAAATCTACACTGGGGTCCAAGTGTGTCAACCTCTGCTAACTAAAATGTTGATAGTTCAAACCCACCAGCCACTCCTCAGAAACCCTACACAGAGTCGCTGTGAGTCGGACCTAACTCGATGGTACTTAACAACAATTTCCATTTGGAGTCCTGGTGTGGTGTTGTAAAAAGCACTAGACTGCTAACTGCAAGGTCAGAGATTAAAACCCACCAGCCTCTCCTCAGTGTGAGTTGGAACCGACTTAATAGCACTTAACAACAACAATGTGCATTTACTCAGTATTGCCAAACTGCCCTTTTTTTTTCCACACATGCTCTGCCTTGATTCCAATGCCCTCATCGTCTGATCCCTCCTCATCCCTCCCATGCCATTAATATTTTTCCTTCTGCTTCCCAGATGGGCTTTCTGACCTATGCAGTCATTTCCCCCATCGTCTCACGCATGCAAATTCTAGCTCTTTCTCCTGTCAACTTGGCTTTTAGAAATCCCCCAGTGTCCAGCTCAAATGCCACCTCCTCCAGAAGGTTTTCACTCATCTAACCCTCTCTCATTTCCTGATTCATCATTCATCAATGTAATAGGCCATCGATGAATTTCCCTACTCTTCTTTTCCTTCCCTTTCCCTTCAGACTTGCTCCTCTCTCTAATTTGGCATCCACCATACCATACCAGTCTGGCTGGTGGTGATGGTTATGTGCTGTGGAGTCGTATTCAACTCATCATGACCCCTGTTTAGAGTTTCCAAGGCTATAAATCCTTACAGGAGCAGAAAGCCTCATCTTTCTCCAGAGGAACCGCTGGTAGTTTTGAACTGCTGATCGTGAAATTAGCAGCCCAACTCGTAATCACTACACTACCAGAGCTCCTTGCCATTCTGGGTAGCACTCTAAAACATCAACCTCTCTTCTGGCCTGCCTTGCCGGCTTCAACTTCTCCAACTTAAGCATTTTAGAATTTCTCACGATCCCTCTGCCCTTGTCTTCTTTGTCCAGCTGGTGAAATTATCCTCCTTTATGGAACCGTCCCTTTCTCTCACCTACATTTGGGCAAAATTAGGTGTCCCCATCTGTGGTTCCATTGAGCCTTCTTTGGTAGATCCTCATCCTGTGCTGTTGTGATTGCCAGTGTGTCTGTCTTCCCTATCAGGCATCACCTGTGTCTTGTTCATATTTTGGCTCCAAAATCTTATTCCAGAGATTACAACATAGTAAACTGACACCCCTCTGTGTTTGCAAAATGAATTAATAAATCAATGTTTCTATTTTCCAAATTCATACCACACTTCTAAGATATATTTTACAAAATTTAGGACTTAATCATATATAGTCTTAGGAGTGAAAAGGACTCCTGGTGTGGTGCTGTAGGATCAGTACTGGACTGCGAACCACAAGGTCAGCAGTTCAAATCCACCAGCTGCTCCTTGGAAACCCTATACAGGAAGGCTATGAGTCAGAACTGACTCAACAGCACTTAACAACAACAACAAAAAAGTAGTGAAATATGGTTCATTATTTCCTTTCTGCATACTTCTTATGACTCATGATGCATTATAAATACCTTCAAATAAATATTTACTAAGTTTCTGGAGTCCTGGTGTGGCGCTGTGGGATAATGCACTGGACTGCAAGGTCAGTTTGAACCACAAGGTCAGTGGTTCAAGCTCCTCGGAAACCCTGTACAGGGTCGCTATGGATCGGAAGCGACTAGATGCCAATTAACAACAACAACAACAACAAGTCTCTAAGGGGGCACAGTGGCTCCATACAGTAAGAGCCACGGCTTGAGCCTGCCAGTCACTCCTTGGGAGAAAGATGAGGCCTTCTGCTCCCGCAAAGATTTTGAAACGCCTTGGAAGCCCTGTAAGGGTCACTCAGAATCAGAAGACACCATAGAGGGTGCCTCGGAGTTTACAGAGTTCCGAAATTCCCACCCTCAAGGAGCTAATATCTTATTAAGGAGGATAAAAGAATAATTACAGCCAGGTAAATTAAGCAGCTTTAATTAGTAGAAAGGTATGGAATTCAAATGAAGTGAACCAGCCAAGCTATTTTGAAGGTGGTATTTAAATTGGGCCCTTGAAGAATAGCCTCTACCTTGAAGGTTAACAGGTCGAGATGTAGGGTGTAAAGTGCAGTCGGTAAACTTTTGGGGTACAATATTTGCATGGACAAGAAAACAGGGAAAAGACTGAGCAACAGAAGCTGCCCAGTTTGTCTGGAGCAGCGGAGTTACAACGGAGTAATGGGGAACAAAGAGGCATCCATCCGTACCGTATCTGACCTTGCATATCAATTCAGCTGACAGTAGGCAGACATGAAACATTTCTGTTTAGGGATATACCCCAGTTGAAATTGTGCCTGGGTAGATTCATTTACACACAGTACCAGACAGGAAAATCCTACAAGAAAATGGCTAGAAGCAAACAAAGTCCCTAAATCAGACCAGGAGTTGTAAGAACCTGGATGGTAGTGGCAGTCAACGCGGAAACGAAGGGAATGCTGGGAGGTGAACCGGCTTGGAAGGATGAACAGTCTTTTGTGTTGTTGTTAAGTCTTTTGTCTTTTGTGTTGCTAAGCGCCAGCTTCCTAGCACTTAGTAGAATGCCAGTCAGTTGGTACACAGCAAACCGTTTGATAGATGCCACCCGTATCTTTGGTTTTGCCGATCTTCTGGTTTATCTACATAAAAAGGTAACATGCTTTGTTTTTCCCCCAAGGACAATATTTTATTAATAATACATATTCGCCCAGAACTTTCTTCTTTCTTTTTAATCCACAGTATTTTATTTATGACCATAAAATTCACAAGTCTTAAGTATGTAACTTGGTAATAATAGTTGGGTTTTATTTTTTGGCTTTGCCTTTTAAAGTTGCTGACAATGCTTCCCAGAAAAAAGTGAAATATATTTATGATCTAATTCAAGAGTGATGATTACAGAGAACTGACACTTTGGAACTAAAAACAACTCCTCTGATGTATATCCGTAATCACGGTTTGGGAGGAATCATAAAACATATTCTGATATCAACTTAATTTTTGGAAAGAATGATTCCAAAGAAATGAATGAATGAGAGCAAATGAGGAGCCCTGGTGGTGCAGTGGTTAAGCACTCAGTTTCTAAACAAAAGGTCGGCGGTTCAAACCCACCCAGAGACTCCATGGGAGAAAGACCTGGTGATCTGCTTCTATGAAGATTGTTGTTGTTGTTAAGTGCCTTCGAATTGGACACTGTGTGGGGTTTCCGAGAAGTGGCTGGTCAGTTTAGACCACTAATCTTGTGGTTAGCAGTCCAGTGCTTATCCTATGGCGCCACACCAGGACTCCTAGAAAAGGCCAGGGATCAGTTCTATTCTGTCACATAGCTATGAGTCAGAACTGACTGGACAGCACAAAACAGTGACGTGAGAGCAAACGAGGTCACTTTGTATTTCTCTTGTAATTATCCGTCACCTGCCTAACCTCATGTTTGTGTTTTTCTTTCTTAATAGACAAAAGAAATCTTATCAGACCAATCACCTTGGCATACCAGAAAGAAGGCATATTTGCTTCAGGAACAGTAATGTATTTTTTTTTCTCCAAACTTGATTGTTTTTCAGAAAATATGTCATTTCCTTTTGCTACCAGTTAGTATTAAGGAGACTTGGTAGTGTAATGACTTAAGAGCTGAGCTGCTAACTGAAAAGTCAGCAGTTCAAATCTACTGATTGCTCCACAGGAAGAAGATGACGCATTCTGCTCCCATAAAGATTTTCCGTTTCAGAAACCCTATACAGGATCGCTTTGGGTTGGGACCTACTCAACAATACACAACCACCACCATTTATTATGAACCATATTTTGGGATGTCTGGTTCTGACAAATTTGATGCAGTATTGTTTCTTTTTTATGCTACTAAAATACTTTTTATTGTGAAGAATTTCAAACATATGAAAAAGCAAAAAGAGCAACATAATGAACTATCTTACACTTACCTTATTTCAAATAAAGATATCATTTAAAAACCTATCCCCCTCCAAACACCTCATACCTGTTACCCAGTTCTATGACCCTAATGTGTTATATTGTCAGACATGAATTTGGACTCTTCCTGTCTAAGCTTAAGCTTCGACTCTTCTACTCATTCAGGTTTATATTAAAATGACTACTAATAGTCTCCATATACTTGTGCCAGGTACCGTGCTAAGAGCTTTATTGTATCTCCATGGTCCTCACAATAACCCTATCAGTAGGAACTGTTGACATTTCTTTACACAGATGAAGGAACTGAACCTTATATGGTTACCACAGTAAGTGAAGGAGCTGGGAGTCGAAGCCAGGTGTGTCTACCTCCAAAGTTTATGCTCGCATTTATTACATGGCAAAGTTTCAGAGAGTATGAAAAGGGGTCAGGCTGTGGTTATTTCTCCCTTACATAGATAAAGTGTTTTAAATGCTTTCTAAGTATATGATGGACAGCTTTCAGTGGAGCTTCCAAACTAAGACAGACTAGGAAATCATCAATGTGACAGAGCACTTCCCGGTCCTTCACCTTCCTCACAATTGTTATGTTTGAGCCCATTGATGTGGCCACTGTCTTTCACTGATCCTCCACTTTTCAAAGCATGAGGTCCTTCTCCAGGGACTGGTCCCTTCTAAGATCATGTCCAAAGTACGAGACACAAAGTCTCGCTATCCTCCCTTCTCAGAAGCATTTTGGATTTGCTTATTCCAAGTCAGATTTGTCTGTTCTTTTGCCAGTCCATGGTACTTTTCAATATTCTTTGCCAACACCATAACTCAAATGCATGTATTCTTCTACAGTCTTCCTTAATCATTTGTCCAGATTTCACATGAATATGAGGCAGCCGAAAATATCACAGCTTGGATCAGATGCACATTAATACTCAAACTGACATCTTTGCTCTTTAACATGAGAGGCCTTATGCAGCAGGTTTGCCTAATACAAAATGCCCTTTGATTTCTTGATTGCTGTTTCCATGAATGGTGATTGTAGATCCAAGCAAAATGAAATCCTTGACAACTTCAATCTTTTCTCCTTTTATCACGATGTTACTTATTGGTCCAGTTGTGTTTTCATTACATTGAATTGTCATCCATTCTGAATGTTGTAGACTTTAATCTTCATCAGTAAATGCTTCAAGTCTTTGCTTTCATCACAAAGTTGTGTCATCTGCATTATCACAGGTTGAATAATTCCTCTTCTTCCAATCCTGATGCTGTGTTCCTCTTCACATAGTCCCGGTTCTCAGATTACTTGCTCAGCATATAAATATTGAAGAAGTATGGTGAAAGGCTACAGCCCTGACATACACCTTTTCTGATTTTAAACCATTCAGTATGCCCTTGTTCTGTTCTAACAACTGCCTGTTGGTCTATATACAGGTTCCTTACAGGCACGATTAAGTGTTCTGAAATACCCATTCTTTCAATGGTATCCATAGTTTGTTATGACTCACACAGTCAAATGCCTTTGCGTATTAAATTAAAACGCAAGTACATCTCTTATTGCTAGTCTGTGCTTTCAGCCAGGATCCATTTACTGTTAGCAATGATATCCCTCATTCCACGTCCTCTTCGGAATCCACTTTGAATTTGTGGTAGCTCCCTGTCAATGTACTCCTGCAACGGTGTTTGAATTATCTTTAGCAAAATTGTACTTGCATGTGATATTAGTGATATTGTTCAATGATTTCCACATTCTGTTGGGTCACCTTTCTTTGGAATAGGCACAGATATGGATCCCTGCCCATTGGTTGGTGAGGTAGCTATCATACAAATTTCTTGGCGTAGATGAATGAGTGCCTCCAGATCTGCCTCAGTTTATTGAAAGATTCAATTCATATCCTGTCAATTCCTGGAGGCTTGTTTTTCCCCAGTGCCTTCAGTGCAGCTTGGATGTCTTCCTTCAGTACCATCTGTTCTTGATTATATGGTGTCTCTTGAAATTATTGAACATCTAGCAATTCTTTTTGGTACATTGACTCTGTGTATTCCTTCTTTCTTCTTTTGGTGCTTCCTATATCATTTGATATTTTGTCCATGTTGTTAAGAGCTGTTGAGTTGATTCTGACCTATAGCGACTCTGTATAGGGTTTCCGAGGAGCAGTTTGAACCTTGTAGTTCAAACGGCTTTGCAGTCTGGCGCTTTTATCCACAGCGCCATACCAGGACTCCATAGAACCCTCCAATATTGCAAGTCAAGGACTGATTTTTTTTCGTTAATTCCTTCAAGCTTGAGAAATGCTGAACATTTTCCATTTTGGTTTTTTAGCACCAGGTCTTTGCTTTAGCATCTCTACCTTCAAGAGCATGTTTCAGAGCCTCTTCTGACATCCATTTTGGTCTCTTCTTTCTTCTCTGCCTGTTTAATGACCTTCTGCGTTTTTCCTGTATGACGATCTTAATTTCATCCCACAGCTCTTCTGGTCTTTAGTCATTAGTGTCTAATGCATCAGATGTGTTCTTGAGATGGTCTCTAATGCAGGTGGAATCCATACAAGGTCATATTTTGACTCTCAGAGAGAGTTGTCTTAATTTTCTTCAGCTTCAGCCTGAACTTGCATATGAGCAATCAATGGTGTGTTTCACAGTCTGCCCCTGGCCTTATTTTGGCTGATGATATTGAGCTTCTCCACTGTCTACTCTCATAGATGTAGTCAATTTGATTCCTGTCTATTCCATCTGGTGAGATCCATGTGAACACTCACTATTTATGTTGGTGAAAAAATGTATTTGTACATTTTACAAGTCATTGGTCTTGTAAAATTCTATCATGTGATCTTCAGCATCATTTCTAGCACTAAGGCCATATTTTTCCTTACTGATCCTTCCTCTTTGTTTCCACTTTTCCCATACCAATCACCAATAATTATCAATGCATCTTGATTGTATGTTTGATCAATTTCAGATTGAAGAAGTTGGTAGAATTCTTCAGTTTCATCATTCATTGGTTTTAATGGTTGGTGTGTAAATTTGAATAACAGTCATATTAACTAGTTTTCCTGTAGGTGTGTGGATATTATTATATTGGTCTTCAAGACATATCTTGAAATGTTCTTTTTGATGACGAGCGGTAGGCTTGTCCTTCCCAACATAGTAAATCATATGATTGTCCAATTCAGAATGGCCAATACCAGTCCATTGCAGTTCACCAGTGCCTAGGATATTGATCTTTATATATTCCATTTCATGTTGGACAACTTTCTTTTTTCTTAGATCCATACTTCATACAGTCCACATTCCGAGTATTAATGGATGTTTGCAGGTGTTTCTTCTCACTTTAAGTTGTACCCCATCAGAAAATGAAGATCCTGAAAGCTTTGCTCCATCCCCATCATTAAGTTCAACTGTATTTTGAGGAGGCAGCTCTTCCCCAGCTGTATTTTGATTGCCTTCCAGCCTGAGGGGCTCATCTTCAGCCAATATTACACTGCTATTCATAAGATTTCCAGTGGCTAGTCATTGAAGTGGTCAGCTTCTCCTTTCTAGTCTGTCTTAGTCTGGAAGCTCCCCTGAATCCTGTCTACCATGAGTGCCCCTGCTGATATTTTAAACACTGGTTGGTGGCATAGCTTCTAGCATCCCAGCAACACACAAGCCACCACAGTATGACAAACTGAAAGATAATGATGACTTAAGTCATTAAGTTGGAACCGACGCTACAACACTCAACAAGAAATACTTTACACCCAATCAATCCATCAATCAATCCATTTTTGTTGGATACATGTCCTGTTCCTAACACTGTAGGTGAAGAACTCGAAAAGAGAATACAAGGGAAATTATATGCATAGTTCTTACCGTTGGGTCATTAAATGATCTAAGACATGCACAGTGATAAAAGAATGGTACATTAGAATGAGTTGGTGTCTTTTGAAGTAAGGAGATTATTATACAGAATCTGCCTCATTTGTTTCACCTCCATGATAATGAAGAATGTACCGCAGAAGATAGATGCTAGAGAAGTTCAAAGAAGACATTATTAAAAATTTCAGTAGCTGAAAAATGTCTCAGGAAAGAGATATCATTGACACTTAATCAGAGGACATGATTAAAAGTTGTTCAAGAGCAAAGACCTGACCCAAGCCGTATTTTCAATCACCTCATATGTTTATGAAAGTTGGACAGTGATAAGGATGACTGTAGAAGAATTGGTGCATTTGAGTTATGGTGTTGGAGAAGATTATTGAAAGTACCATGAGAAGAGCAAACAAATCTGTGTTGGAAAAAATGCAGTCAGAATGCTCCTTAGAAGCCAGGATGGCCAGACATATCTGCCACACTTTGGACATGTTACCAGGAGGGACCAGTTCCTGGAGAAGGACATTATGCTGGATAAAGTGGAGGGTCGGTGAAAAAGAAGAAGACCCCAATGAGATGGATTGGCACAGTGACAGCAGCAGTGGGCTTGAGTATAACAACAGTTCTGAGGATGACATAGGACTGAGCAGTGTTTCATGCTGTTGTGCACAGGATTGCTATGAGGTGGAACCGACTTGACAGCCCCTAACAACAACAAACAAAGTTAAGAAGGCAGAGCATTCTAAATAATATAAATACTGAAGAGGATTTAAAAAATAAACAGAGGAGGGTAATCAGTAAGCCTTAGCCTACCTAACGAGGAAAGTATATGCATTGACTGAGACTGATTTTCTGTATTTATCTCATTGTTTTTGGTCTCCAGGATGGTTTTGTATATTCTTTTATTATTAAAGATGCAAGTTACAAAGTACAGGATTTTATTGAGTTAGAAGAGCCTGTGGAGCATTTGGTGTTTTCTCCCAATTACAAAATGTTGCTGCTTCAAACAGAAAAGGTATGCTCGATAGCAACGTCTTGATATGTAATTTTCAGAGAAAATTATGATCATTGTTGTCTGAGATGAATGATGGGCACAGTGTGCTGCATGACACTTCACTGGTCTGGACTCTTTAGGTTGTTAAAAACAGCAACAACAAAAGGGACTTTTGTTTGTTGGTTGATTGGGTTTTGTGCATGTGATTGAAAGGGCAAAGACTGGATCTGAGCTGTTATAATGCCACTGGGTCTTATTTTCCTTCCATCTTGTGGTTCTGTGCCCTCTCTGTGATGCCAAGAGACAGACCTTCTGCAGTTCATACATATTTCTATCCTCTTGATGACCCTGTTAAGAAGATACCAGCTGGAACACATGTTCTGGAATTTAGACTTCTTGGCCTGACATGAGTCAGGAGGCCAGGAGGATTCTAAGATCTGAATAGCGAGCTCTGAAATCATATGCCTATTGTTGGACCTTGGATAAAGTCAACCCAGCAACCATAGACTGAGATTTAGGGCATGCAAGGTTCTCTATGGGAAATATGGAATCTGTCAAAGAAGGGAAGGAAATAAATGCAGAGTAAAAACAAATGTCCACCTCAATGAGTGGACTCCTAATTAATGGATGACCTTCAAAGATCAGGATTAGTAGTTCATATTGTTAGGCAAACTTTCTTTTCCTCTTTTTAAAATTTTTTCTTGTGATTTGAGTGAAAGTTTACCGAGCAAAAAGGTTGTCCATTCAACAATTCATACACATTTTGTTTTGTGATATTGATATTCACACCGTAAAAGCATGCTTCCCACTTTCTCTCTGTGTTTACTGTTTCCATTCATCCTTCTTCCCTACTCCTTCCTGACTTCTGAGCTTTATACCTAGGCAAACGCTACCCTTTTGAACTGGTATGGTTGATTGTTCTAAGGAGTGTGTGTCTCCCTGGTGTTATCAGTCACCTTGTAGGCTTGTCTACTGTTTGGACTGAGGAGTGTCAAAGGACCATAGTCTCAGGGGTTCCACCAGTCTCTGCCAGACCAGTAAGCCTGGTCTTTTTATGATTTTGAATTTTTTTCCACATTTATCTCCCCATCTATCCAAGACCTCCTATTATGATCCCTTCCAGAGTGGTCAGCAACAGCAGCCAGGTACCATGTAACTCTTCTGGTCTCAGGATTGTGGAGGCTGGGGTTCACTAGTCCTTTGGACTACTCATAGTTTCTATATGTCTTTGATTCTCTTTAGTTCAGATGCGGAGAGACCAATAGTTGTGTCTTTGATGGCTGCTTCGAAGCTGTTGAGACCTCAGTAGAACATTTTCTTTGTGAACTGTGTTATGCCGACTGACCTTTAGGATCCTGAGCCTCCAGGCTCAGCATCTCATTCCCTCCAGGTGTTTGATTATGGTTAAGAAGTTTGCATAACTTTGTACCCTGTGTCCTCTATTTATACTCATGGATCTATTTTTGCAACATACATATAAATACATATGTAGAGATATCCTCTGTTAAGCCTTATACAGATTTGTGGGTGCAATCCCACTTTCCTATTTATGTATGTTCAGCGTATGTACCCACTCATAGATGATTGTTATGAGTATTATTACAGAATTGTGTATGTTATAGTGTTCATCTTTGTTGCCTTTAACTCTTATGATCCTCCCAGTGTCTTGTTTTCATCACTTTGTACTGACCTCTATCTTATTGTACCTTAGTTAAGCAAAATTTGATATTGGATTACAAAATTAAATGATTTCCTACATAAAAGAGGTTTAAATCTAAATATTGAAAGACTGCCAGAATTTAAAACTGTGCTGTTTTAGTAAAAAAAAACAACAAACTTAAAATATCTATGGTGAATAGGAAACTATAAAAAGCGACATAAGCCATGGAAAAGTCCCAAATAGAACTTCTAACAAAGAAAAATACGTTAACAAAATTAAAAATTCAGTAACCCTAGCTAGCAGCAGATTAAACTCATCCTAAGAAATTATTGGAAGATAAATTACAAGATTTATTCAAAATGCAGCCCAGAGATACAAAAGGGTAAGAAATATAAAAAGGAGTGTAAGAGACAGGAAGAATACCCTCTAAAAGTTCTAACATATGTTTGACTGGAACCTTAGAGAGGAAAGAGTGAGAGACAGCAATGCTTTCCAGAACTGATTAAAAACATGAATTTACAAATTCAAGATCTTTGATTTCTAATCTCCTAAAGAAGCTCTGGTAGAATCGTGGGTACAAGTCGGGCTGCTGATCTCACTGTCAGCAGTTTGAAACTACCAGTCATCCCTGGGGAGAAAGATGAGGCTTTTTGCTCCCGTAAAGATTCACAGCTTCAGAAATCCTATGCAGGATGGCTATGAGTTGGGACCGACTCCATGGCACACCACCACCACCAAGGAACCTCCGAAGCCCTGTGGGTTATGCATTGGGCTGCTAACCTTAAGGTTGGTGGCTCAAACCCACCAGCTCCTCCGCAGGAGAAACATGAGGCTGCCTGCTCATAGTGACCCAATATAGAGTTTCCAGGGTTTACAGTCCTGTGTTAGAATCTCATGATGGCGGTGGATTTGGTCTTTTTTGTTTGGTGTTCCTACACAGTGCCTTACTTACAGTAGGTAGGTAATAGGAATTTTTTTAACTTCATATGCATCAACAACTTTATATTTCTTTTTATTTTTTGTCCCTTTGTATGACTACCAGGGATCTATTCATACCTACACTTTTGATAAGCAGCCAAGATTTAATAAAGTCCTAACTGCTTGTGATGGGAACTTTCAGGCACTTGATTTCATCACACCTGGAAACAAACATTTCATGGTAAGGGATGTTTTATTGTTTCACAGTAGAATCTAAAGATGAAAAGTGTTAAGATTTAAATTCCTACCCATATGTAGGAATTGGATAACTTTGGAAGTTCATGCACTTCAAAGGAAATGGCATGAGCTGTTGATTGCTTCCGTTTTCAAATCTATTCCTCCAGTTGGAATAAGAATATTGTATTGTGTCTTCATAATATTAAGTCCAACAAAAATACCCAAAGCAACTGAGATCTTAGGAGCCATTTTATTTTTTAAATAATATTGTCTTTTAGGTGAAAATTTCCGCCACAAATTAGGCTCCCCTTTAACAATTTCTACACAGTGTTCAGTGATGTTTGATAGTGTTTTCACGAGGCATCATTATTCCCCTGCAGGCTGTTCTGTTTCCAGTACTCTCGTTTCCACGCCCCATTACCTTCTGGTCTTTGCTTTAGAGTCACTGTTGACCATTTGGTCTCAAATAGATGATTTAAAAAAAAAAAACAAGAGCTGTGGATCGTCTTTATTTTATGAAACATTCTGCTATTTATCTAAAGGTGATCTTGGGACCGTTTTGGTTCAAGTTTTAAAGGTTCAGGATGATCATCTTGAGGAACCCTCTAGTCTCAACCAGTCCAGTAAGTCTGGACTTAAGAACTGGATTTCTGTTCCACATTTTCCTCCTATTCCGTAAGGGTTCCTGTCCTCTGACCGTGATCAGAACAGTTAGTAGTGATACTTGGGCACCATCTAGTTCTTCTAGATACCTCTCAATGTAGATGAGGCCTGGTGTATGTAAATTACTAGCCCTGTGGACTGCTTTTTTCTCTTTTGCTCCTGACAAGTAGAGACCAATAGTTGTATCTTAGCTGGAAGCTTACAAGCTTTTAAGACCCCAGACTACTCACCAACCTAGGATGTAGAACATGAACTTTAGGAGCTATATTACGCCAAGTGACTGAGTTGTCCTATAAGAATATGATGTTAAGCCTTCAAACCCAGAAAACCTATTGCTAGAAGTGTTTGATTAGGTCTAAGAACTATCAGTAACTGTGCTCCCTATGTTCTTTAGTATGTATATGAATATATATGAGGGGGCACATGAGGGGTCTTCAAAGAATGGAGTTTTTTGACCTTCAAAAAATGGAGTTTTTCCATGAATTTTCAAAGTTCCCTCATATCCATGTGCACATATATATGTATACATATGTTGTTGTTGTTGTTGTTAAGTTCTGTCAAGTCGACTCTGACCCATAGCACTCCAACCCATAGTATACGGTTTCTAAGGAGCAGCTGGTAAGCTTGAACCACCAACTCTGCAGTTCAAATGGCTTTGCAGTCTGGCACATTAACCCACAGTGCCACACCAGGACTCCATGTATACATATAGCTACAGCTATATATACACACATGTACATACTTATGCACATATATAGTGTGGCGCTACAGCATAAGCACTGGACTGCTAAGCAGTTTAAACCCACCAGTCGCTCTTCAGACATCCTAGAGAGGGTCGCTGTGGGTCTGAACGGACTCAATGGCACTTAGCAAAAATCACAGCACGTACAATTATTTACCTGAACCATCTTTTCTCTTGTATAATTCTTATTGACATCGTTTACCTTGGTCAAGTTGTGTACACTTGCAAAAAAACTGTAGCATGTTGCACCAGCCAATCTACTCAGCTGGGTTCAATAATTCATTGCAAAGGCCACACATCACTCAAATACCACACTCACAATTGTGGGGTTTATTAGGGAAAGTAACAGGTTACAATGCAGAATGAGAACATACTACGAGCACAGTTGTTCCAGGCAGGAGAGCCTCTCTGTAGTCATGCCCATGAGCAGGTCCTTCCCTCCCTGGGCACTGTCACAAAGCTCTGTCAGAGCTGCTGATGAATGCCCACAGGACACACCACTCCACCATAAGCCTCAGCCTGAAAACACATGGCTCTAACTCTCTGGGCCGGCAAACTGAGCTCCCCCAAGTAAGTGCCTGGAAGCACTCCACTTGAAACGGAACAAGCAAACTTCCTGCCCAAAGTCATTCCGCTGTACTTGCTCCATGAGCTAGCTGGGAAGCCCAATCCTGTCGCACGTTCTGGTTCTTGGTTCTGCTGCTGCTGCTGCTCCTCTACCATTCTTCCGGTGTCACAGCTTTCTGTCCCTGCATCAAGGAGGTTCAGTGAGCAGGGATCTCAGGGTCCAAAGAATGTGCTCTTTGAACTTTGTTCTTCTTCTTGATGGTATGAGATTCCCCCTCCCACTTCTGAGACAGCTCATTTTATACCTGTGCTACAGGTTCAAGCTTTACAGTTAACTCTGCTAACATCCACAGCTGCATCCTGTCATCCGAGCAGTATATTCTCCCACCCAGACCCAGCAAGGCAAAAATATTGTTTGATGGGAGTTACAGACTATGGCTAGAACAGACTTTGGCTAATTCACGACACCACACCACTTCCCTCATAGTCAAAGTTGCCTTTCCTATCATCAAAAAATAACAAGAGTCTACTCTGTAAAAGGAGTCCTGGTACGGAGTTACAGGATCAGCACTAGACTGCTAACTGCAAGGCCAGTGGCTCAAACCCACCAGCCGCTCCTCAGAGAGCCTATACAGGGTCACTGTGAGTTGGAACTGACTCAATGGCACTCAACAACAACAACAACAACTCTTTAGAAAGTAATTGCCCCCTACCACTCCCCTAACCTGGGAACCTCCAGGTTTCTTTTTGTGTTGTTAAGTGCCGTTGAGTCGTGTTCTGACCCCTAGCGACCCTGTATAGGGTTTCCAAGGAGCAGCTGGTGAGCTTGAACTGCAGGCCTCCCAGTTCAACGTGGACTTTGCAGTCCAGCACATTAACCAACAGCATCATGCCAGGAGTCCTTTTTATAAAAGTGACATAATACATTGGTCCTTTTGTTATTGACTTGTTTTACATTGCATAATCCCCCAGATTCATCCATGTTTTAAGAAGTTTCAAGAACTCATCAATAGTCCTTATGGCTATGTAGGGATGTACCACATTTTGTTTATCCATTCATTCACTGATGGGCACCTAGGTTGTTTATCTCTTTTCTATTGTGAAGAGTGTTGCAATGGGCATTGTTGGTGGTGTTGTTAAGTGCTATGTAGTCAGTTCCGACTCATAGTAACCCTGTTTAGGGTTTCCAAGGAGCGGCTGGTGAGTTTGAACCTCCAACCTTGCAGTTCAAACTGACCTCATGGTCCAGTGCATTCTCCTGCAGCACCACACCAGGAACATAGGTGTGCATTTATCTGTTTGTTACTACTATTAGATCTCTAAATTGTATACTTAGGAGTTGGATTGCTGGATTATAGCGTAGTTCTAGTTCTAGTTCTAGTTTTCGGAGGTAACACTATCCTGTTTTCCATTGTGCTTGTAACCATTTTACAGTCCCACCAGTTATGGACAAGGGTTCAAAGGCATGAATTTTATCCACCACCCAAACTCTCCAACCAAGACCTTTAAACACATTCATTGCTAATGAGTCACTAACGTTCAATCAAGTATTAGTATTTACCTCTTTTTGGAGAGACACAGACCCATCTGAGCAGAAAATGAAATGGGCGCCATGCAGGAAACATGATTCAATGCACCTGAAGAAAACACCCTCTGCATTTAGAAACGATGCATTTCCTTTTTGGTGCTCTACTATTCACCTTTTATTGCTCTCAAGAAGTATTTTTAAATTTTCTTATGATTTATCAACAGATCTCTTAAGGTTTTAGAATTTTAGCGAATAAAATAATGCATAGATTTGGAATAGGTAACATTTAAGGTATCTTCAAATTTGGTTATCTGATTTTTCTTCTAAAGTTTCTTTAAGAATTATGTATATTCTCATAGTTGTTTCATTTCCATAAAAACTCCATACAAGATATTCATGTTTAGGAATTAGAGACTTGATCCATATTTTCATCTTATCTGTTCTCTAGTATCAGAAACAAAACCAAACCCTTAAATTCTGTCATTTCAGTTACTTTAAGTTGCTTTCCGTTTTGATCCTGTGGAAGAATGAAGGTGATGAAATTATGAATATTTTATAATTTCCTATTTCTAGGGTTTTTTATTAGGCAATAATCCCATTGAATTTCCAAATGATAGTTATGTGCTATGACATCACCATGAATACTGAATTAATGAATACTGGCCCATTGCTTCCAGGGGAAATACAAATTTAGGTTCCCTCAAACCTCTGTACACAACACTTTAGTCAGCTGATCAAGACATAACCTTGTTTTGTGTGTTTCTGTTGAAAACCTTGTTTTGTGTTTCTTTTGATTTATTCACATTGAACTCATGCCTAACAGCACTGCCTAATTGGGGCTTAAGTAACACATGTATTGTCTCCATACGCCACCTTACAGCCTTCCTGAACATAGAGATGCTAGTTAGCACTTCAGCATTATGCCTGGGGGCATTGTAAACAAAGAAATTACAAACAATAAGCACAAAAATACAATGAAGGTGGCACTAAATACGTTGTGAAAAGCCTTTTGTTTACAGTCAAGAACTGAAGCAAGAAGGCAGGGTGTGTGTGTGCATCAGGAGACTCAGTGGTTGCCGCTCTGCACGTCTGCTAACGACCACAAAACCACCATGAATGCTGATTCAGGGTTACAAATAACTTTTAGCAAGTAAGCAAGGTCTCAAAAACGGCACCCACAAATATCAGAGATTGACTGTAGCTTTATCTCAACTTTGTTACCTAGAAAAAGTTTTCCACTCTCCTCACCACAATTGTGGTTCAAACTCACCAGTCGTTCCTCAGAAATTGTCTACAGGGTCTCTATAGGTCAGAACTAACTCGATGACACTTAACAACAATAACAACAGCCATTGAGTCGGTTCTGACCCATAGTGACCCTGTATAGGGTTTCCAACGAGTAGCTGGTG